TATTTTAAAGTTTTGTAACTTGAATATCATGTTTATATTAAGTTTTCACTTTAGAAGAGTCAGCGTCAGGGCAAATTTTATCGAACTAAACATCATTGAAGTGAGTAGCCATACTTTTAATCTATAGTAATATTTTGTTTCTCAATTTTTATATATTAATAGATAATAATATTTGCACAAACTTGGTTTATATATTTTCTTTTGTTGGTCGCGTTGCTAGGAATGTAATTTTAGTAGTAGTAGCTCCAATGACTGAGTTGTAATTTCGGGTGATCAAATTATTAAAAAGTGTGAACGCTTTAGATATCTTGGTTTACTGTTCAAGTGATGTTGATATATATGATGTTATTAGTATAATTTAATATGGTAAGTTGAAGTGGAGGAATGCTTCGAGCCTATTTTGTGATAAAAAAGTATCGCTTAGACTGAAAGGAAAATTTTATAAGATGGTGGTGAGACTTGCAATGCTCTATGACGTTGAATGTTGGTCTTTAAAAGAGAAGCATAAAATTAAGTTAAGTATTGTCGAGATGAGAATGCTTAGGTGGATGAGTGGGTTTACATTTAGAAACAAAATACAAAATGAATATATCTGTGATAGGATTGTTGTAGTTCTAGTGGCTGACAAAATTTAAAAAGAGTCGTCTTAGATGGTTTGGTCACATTAAACATTGACCATCTGATGATTTGATTAGAAGTGTAGATGTTTTAGATTCAACTTATATTAAAAAAGGCAGAGGTATACCTAGAAAGATTTGAGCGTATTGTATTAAAAGGTTCTTATTTATTAGATTTAAATGAAAATATGACACTCAATTGGATGCATTGGAGAGAGGATTCATGTAGCCAACCCCATGTAGTGGGATAAATGTTTGTTGTTGGTCAGATTATTAGGAATGTTTGTAGCTATTTAATATCATGTATTATTGTATGTTATATATAATATATTAAATTGATTGTTACGAGCACATAAATGATGTATTTATGGTGACTGTTTGTATGTGCATTGTTGATTATGATGGAGTCACATTTTGATGGTACTAATGAGAGAACACTAAGGTACTCAGACACGTATATGAAAAAAGATATTGATATTGATGTGTCTTAATTGACACAATTTTGATGCAATGCTCTTATGATGGTTGTATAAATATAGAATGATATTGATATGTTATTAATATAGAAATGTTCTTTGAATAACATCAAATATTTTTATTTATTTATTAAAATCTGGACTGTTATATTGCTTCTTTTTCTCTTATATTATAGTGGTTTATGAGTGATTATTAACTGACTCGTTTAGCTCACAGTTGTTTTAAATTAACTTTAGAGGTTAATTAAGTGATTAACGATTAACATTAAAAGAGATAACGTTACAGAAGAAAAAAAAAAACCAATAACGAGAAATTTAATTTTACTGCTTTAATTTAAATTGAATTGTGGTTCTTTCATCCATTAAATTATAGATGAATATAAAAATATTAATTCACACACTCGGACCGTCTGTATTAGCCTTGGTTAATTTCAAGCCCAAGACTGTGTCATGAGAAAAGTGGTATCAGAGCATACGGCTTAGGATTAATTAATGAAATCTCGATGAAAGAACTAATATGATAATTATAAGAAAATTTTAAAAATTATAAAAAAAAATTAAAGTTAATGCAAAGTAATAGTTATTCTTCATTTGAGTATAGTGATATAACTGAAATTATAGAAGAAGAGAATCCGATAAAAAATGAAGAAATGCAACTTACTATAAATGTGAGCACAAATGTCTCGCTCAAATGACGACGACAATGACTTAGTTGATTCAGGAGTCTAGAAGTGATACAATCTTTGTGGTTAAGTATTTGAAAAGATGTCAAGATATACATCCATGTTTTTTTAAATGAACTTAAGACACAATTTAAACGAAAAACTGACTAATGAGAGCAAAGAAAATATTACATAACATGACTTGTTCGAATGAAAAATGAGTATTGTTGGTGACTTTTGTGTTCGATGGAGAAGCTGAAAGGTGGTGGTGTGGGCAACGTCAAGACGGGTTAGGGGACATATCTAGCTTGTTGATAAGTTGGGAGGAGTTCGTGGACCATTTTAGAGAGTGGTTAGTACCCTATCCGCTCGATGACAGATGCATGAGAAATTCACTAGGTTAAGGCAGGGAGAGAAGACAATCATACAGTATGAAGTAGAATTCACTGTACTGTGCGCCACAGTTGATTGCTACTGCAGAAGAAAAGTGTTACCAAATCCTTTCGGAATCAAATGATTCAATCAAACAACCATTGGTATTTTTAGGGATCGATGAATATTCGATATTAGTGAAATGAATTAGAAGAGTAATGTTTGACTATCAGATTGCTCAAAAGCATAAAGAGATGCACAAGAGAAAGATTGCAAAAGACCATATGGTTCAATCAGATGGTTTAAAACGGAACAAGTCAAAGAACATGCCGGGTGGAATTACCAGAGATACGACGTAGGGTACTGTAGTCACTTGCGGGAAATGTGAAAGATAACTTAAGGGTGAATGTGTGACGGGCTCTAACACTTGATATTGGTGTCGTCTGCCTGATCATACAGCAAGATATTGCCCATCTCTTGGCCAGAAGAGCACTGAAGATCATAAATCAGGTTGAGCTCTTTCACCAAAGTTAGCTAGCGGGAAGAAAAAGACGAGTTATAGCCTCATCTCTTATCCAAGGTCAACCAAGACAATTAGTTCAACATCAAGTATATTCTCACTCATAGTGAGTCTGAAGAACCTACAGTTGCTAATAGTGGTGAGGTCGGATGAGTTTAGCATTTTCTTATATGTAAGGGTATTTTTCTAGCATGTTTTCTTGCTTCAATATTGTAATCTGAATTTTGTCACCTTGTATTGAATTTTAATTTCTTTGTAAAATTTGTAGATGATTAGTGTCGACATGTTATTGAGATGACATGAAGCATGTTTATAAATTTTGAGGACAATTTTTGTAAGTGAGGAAGATTGTGAAATCTCGTTTTCATTATTCGAGAGAAGAAATGAAAAAAACGAAGAAGATGAGGTGAGGAGTCGGAAGCCGAAGAGATGGAGGTGTGAGAGAGTTGGGAAGTCGAATAGTTATTTTTGTATATATAATGACGCGTAAGATAGGAGGTAAAATGCAAGATCGACTTACCAATGGTGTGTGAAGGAGAGGAGGTCGATACATAGAAGGGGGCATTGTCTCTTTCTGGTGAAGAAGGCTTTGTTGAGCATAGGAGGAGGCAGCGACATCTCTGTCACACGGACTTGAAGCTAACGTTGATGTCATGCAAAGCCCTCATGCAAAGCCCGTGCTTTGATTGAAATGTGGGTGGTGTCAGTGGCTAACAACGACATCTCTATCAAACAAAGGAGGCAACGTCAGCACCATGCAAAGGAAGAGGAAGCAGGAAGAAGGCTCATGCGAGAGAGCCGAAGCGGAGCTCTAGAGCGAAAGTCGCATCGCGTGCAAAGGGAAGAAGTTTTCTCGCGTGGAGCAGGGTTCGACCGTGGTAAGCTTTAATAGAGATTAAATTAAAATAATAAAAATAATAATCTATATGTATATGTAAATAATAATAATAATAATAAGTAGAATGACAAAGGAAAATATATAAATTTTATAATTATTGTAAATTTAATAGTTAATTAAAATAATAATTTAGTTTAAAGTTTTGTAATATAAATACCATGTTTATGTTAGATTTTCACCTCAGAAGAGTCGATGTCAGGACAGATCTTATTGAATTAAATGTCCTTGAAGTTACTACTTATACTTTTAATCTATAGTAATATTTGGGTAGATAATGCTTTTTGAACAAATTTTATTTGATTTATATATCTTTCTTTATTGGTCACATTGCTAGAAATGTTTGTAGCTATATAATATCATGCAATGGTGTATGTTTTAATATATCGAATTAAATGTGACGAGCACATGAATGATAAATTTATTTTGACTGTTTGTATATGTATGTTTGACTATAATGAAGTTACCTCTTGATGATACTAGTAGGGAAATACTAAGATACCCGTGCACGTATATAAAAAATGATATTGATATTGATGTCTGAATTGACATAATTTTTAGACGGTGACAGTTGTAAAAATATAAAATAATATTGACATTTTAATGATATAAAAATGTTAGTTGAATAATATCACATATTTTTATTTATTTATTAAAATCTTGACAGACATAGATATTACTTCATTTTTTCTTGTATTATTATAGTTTATATATGAGTATTCACTGACTTATTTAGCTCACAGTTGGTTTAAACTAATTTTTTTAAGTTAATTAAGTGATTAACAATGAGCATTAGAAGAGATAACATTTATGGAAGATAAAGATGCTCAGTAACTAGTTAAAATTTAATTTTAGTGTTTTAATTTAAATTTGATTAGTGGTTCTTTCATCTGTTAAATTTTAGGTGAATATAAAAAAAATTACTTTACTGTTTGATCTTCTATACCCATCTTGGTTAATTCGAAGCTCTAGATCGGTCGTGATAACACATTTTAGGTTTTAGAACTTACACCCACAAATTTCATTCTGTTTTTTAAGATTTCCTCTTGTTGCTTATTTTGATAAATTTGTATTTACAGTGTATGAATGAATCTTTTTGGGAAATTTACATGCATAGCACGATTCTTATGTATTTACAGGCCTAGCACCTAAACTTTTATATTTACATTCATAGCACGTTGGTGTCATAAACCTATGAATGAATAGGCCTATTGCTATTCCCTTCTAAAGAGCAAGTGAGTGGTTTTTTGATTCGATATCAAAGATTTAAGTTTCATGAATGTTATGAAACTTTAGGTGTTAGATATGTAAATACATAAGATTTGTGGTATTTATGTAAATGGCGCCTTTTTATCCTACTATAGATGAACTGTAATTTCTTATTTATCAATAATAAAGCCAGCTTATTATTTCATTTGGATTTTTTTTCTTATTTCCAGTAAATGTCCATTGTTTCAGGTGACGTCGCCATTACTGATCCTCCATGGAGCTGCTGACAAGGTGACAGATCCTAATGTGAGCAAATTCCTTTACGACAGAGCTTCCACAGAGGATAAGAGCCTCAGGCTTTATGAGGGAGGATATCATGCTCTTCTCGAGGGAGAACCCGACGAAAGGATTTCTCTTGTTATTGCTGAAATCATTTCCTGGCTTGACTCCCGAGTATCCGTTCAGTAGCTTTAGACATTTTTTTGTGAAAAGTTGTTATATTATTATTCCGTAGAAATTAATTTTATCTGCATGTTAGAATTCCTTCGTTTTGCGGAGATTGATTGTTGGAATTATAAATAATCTATCTGTCAGCCGCAGTCTTCAACATTATGAATAATTTGTTTTCATGTTCTTGAGTTTTGTGGGAGTTCTTGGTATGTTTTGGATGTAATTATATGCAACTCTTTATACATTTGCACAAATGCGGGTTACATGTTTGGCAAATTTGTTGGATATTCTGGCACTTTCTTTGGTGTTGTTTTTCTCCCCTTGGGGATTATTGGTTACTTAAAAATAGAAAATATTTTTTTGAAAAATACTGATAATTATAAGTAGTTTGAGCGGACACATAATTATAATTTCCAATGGATCAAAAGATAGATTGCTATCTAAGATTTCCTTACATAACTGCTCAATTCTCATGTTTTTAAATGTATAACGACCTAACTTCAATTTTTACTGAGTATTGAAAGAATCACAAAATGAGTCAGAATATAAATAGACAGAAGATTTGGAGTTCATATATATTTGCATATAAAATATAAAATGACTGTCATCTAAGGCTCCGTTTGGGGCAGTTTATTGACCTGCAGCGGCGTTTTGAAAACACGATCGCAGTGCTTGAAAAACACGTTGGGGGTGCGTTTTTTTGCCGCTCCGAGACATCGATATGAATTTCTTAATAGAGGGTGAAGTGGGACGAGTCCTGCGTCGTAATATTTCCGGTTGTGCCCTTAGCTCGCCCCTGGATCCTCTCCCTCGCGATCGCCCTCCTATTCTTCCTTCTCCCTTCTGCAACGTATCTCTCGCGAAATGCCAATAGCATTTCAACCCTCCGTCTCACTGTCCTTCCACGACAGTGAGCTTCACTGGCATCACTCTCTCTAATGTCGCGGCCGCTCGCCGATCACCTTCCATGGCTTCTTCATCCATGTAATGTCGCGGCTGCTCGCCGATCACCTTCCATGGCTTCTTCATCCATGATAGATGATTCTTTCTCTCCTTCCCTCCAAAATCGAGAAGTTGCAGCTCCACTACGCACGGCGAGGTGGCGACGGTAATGGCTCCGTAGAAGTGGAACACTCGGCTTGCGACCATGCCGACGAGTCATTTGTGGCTAACGCCATTGGGAACCTTTGACAGACCTTTTTGCTTTATTATAAGGCTAGGGTTGGGATTGGGATCCTCCTACGAGCCTTCAAAGTAGCCCGACACCATTCTTATTCCTCTATTATTGATCTCAAGGTTTGCCCGGTCGTCCGGATTCTTTTCAATTATTCTTTATGGCAGTTTCTGGTGCACTTTTTTGTTGGTGATTGGTTTTGTTTTATGCATGGATTTGTATGTCTTACTACATATCTAGTAGTAAGTGTTGGCTTCTTTGGAGAATTTAATGTTTTGACTGCAGTAGGAACTTAACTTGAAGTAGTTGTTTTACTTGGAGCAATCCGTTGTTTAATCGTAATATTGTATTGTCCATGCCAGCAACTTGTTTCTGAGAAGGACTTGATAGTGAGAGAGGAAGCATGGTGTATTGGGTTGCTTTTGGTGGATTTGGATTGTTCTTTGGTGGAGAGAAAATGTGTTTTAGAAAATGGTGATTTCGTTTTTACTATTTAATTTGTTTTTTTACTGATTTGTGTCGTTAATTGAAATCATCAAATTTGAGGAATTGAAGGTGTTTGTTTTGTTTAAAAATATTATTAATTTCTGAATGCATCCAACCAAATGAAAGCCTTTATATTAAATTCATTGTGGTTACTTGATAGAGTGTTACTAGAGAATAAAAACCAATATGTTTGTGCAACTAGATTTGGATGGGAGTTGACTCATCCATGTTTTGGTGTCCTCTAGTGTTTGACATGAATGTTGTATGAATGTTGTTTATCATATCATTACAAAGGAAACCATTATGGGCTATGCTATAAATGCTACATAAGTTTCGGAGGTTCTACAATGGAGAAATACATACGTACCACATAACTTTATGTATTTACCCAAAATTTCATATTTACATATATTTCTTCTGATACTCACGAAATAGTGAGCAGTGAATTCTATTTTTTTGAACTGATCTGTAGCAGTTTGAGGCTTCTGTTCCACATATTATTTCACCCATACAGTTTTGTTGCAAACAGTTTCACCAAACAATGGCAGAATAATCATTTATTTAGCAACAGCTATCAATAAGTTATTCTAAATAAGCTCTCCCAAACAACAAAACAACTTATTCTGATAATATGCAAAATTTAGATGGTTGGTCACGAACATTTAATGTGATTTCAGTAGTGGAGCTAATTTTGGTGTACATAATGGCCCCTAAATCATTTTCACTTGTGTTAATAAATAATTAGGGACATCTACATACAACATAATTTTTATGTATTTATTAATATCAAGATTTTAATATTTATATGCTTAATACTAAAGTTCTTAATATCACATCAATAATAATGTTTTCATCAACTTTAAAAAAAATTAAATACAAATTCTCTACCAGATTTCTCATGTCAAAGTGCTAAAAGTAAATATTAAAAGTTAGATGTTTGATATGTAAATGTCTAAGAATGGTGTTGTACGAATGTAATATTTCTTAAATCAAACATAATTTTAGAAGTTAGAATAATAGAATTTTCACATCCTAGTTCTATCATCTATAAGTTTCATAAAATCAATTTCTTTCTTTTGGAGAAAATATTATGTCCAGAGTCAGGGTGTAGGTTTACGTCTGGACTTCTATAACAAATCGACACATGTTTGCTTAACTGGACCTACTCCGCAAAGCTAAAAAATGTTAGTCTTTGGCAGAGCTTGAACCCGGCCTGAAACCAGTCCAAAAATTGGACAAGAAAAAGTGACATTAAAAAATCCATGACCCGCCTTCATTTCTATTTTTCACTCTAAGGTTCCAATTTTGTTTTCCGTCTAGGGTTTGTTGATAACCCCCTCTACATCATTGAAGTATTTTTTTATTTTCAAAGGAGATTTGCGAAGCGTAGAATTAAGTTTTTTATTCGTTAAGTTAATTTGGTTGATCGATTTTGAATGAACTTTGAGTTATCTGTCAAACTCATCTAAACTCAAGAAGTTATTTATTACACAATGTCTAGGGTTTTCCTGCAATGCAGAAAGAGGAAATGGAAAAAATGAAGGAAAAAACTTAGGATAGAAGAAAGTAAGAGAGCTTCAAGGTAAATAGGAAAAAATGAAATATAGATTGTTGTATTTATTAATCAGTGTTTAATTTTTTACATGTTTAAAACAGATTTAATTGAGAAATATATTCCTTCAAGGTTATTTTGCCTCATTTGTCCATTGTATTGTTTCATAACTCAAAGTTGGACCATATATAATTTGAGTTATTATTGGAAAACACTGTATTTGATTTGATAAGGTTCATTTGTTTAATGTTTAAGAAAAAATACAATAGATTACCCAAATACCATAATAATACCACCAAAATAACACCATTATACCAACATAATGTCATCACAATGTCACAACAGTACGACCACAATATCACCACAGTGCTACCAAAATGTCACCTTAATTCCACCCCATTTTCACCACAATATTACCATATTACCACCATAATATCACCCTAATATTACCACAAACAATGCCACACATTATCACTACAATGCCACTACCATATAGTCGCAATACCACCACAATACGACAATAATACCATCTTAATACTAAGATACTACAATCACAATACCACCATAAATATCTTCACAATATCATCATAATACCACCACAATACTACCACAGTACCGTCGCCATGTCACCACAATGTCACCACTTTTCTAAAAAATGATAACACTTTTTTAAGAATTACTTTCAAACAAAAAAGGTGCATAGTATCATAATCTATTACTTTTCAAGTAAAAGGTACAGAGTAATGTTGTTTGAAAAATTTTCTTATAAAAAGATTACTATGTTTTGGAAAAATGGTGGTGTGATGGTATTGTGATGTTGTTTTTGAAGTTATTTTGATGGTATTATGATGTTATGGTGGTATTTTGATGGTAGTATTATTATCACATTGTGGTGGTATTAAGGTGGTATTGTCACATTGCTACCTTAATAAAATTGCAATATCAACATAATGACACCAGAATATCACCCAAATTACAACCCAATATCACTCACTACAATATCACTACAATATCATGATAATACCACCACAAGTTCACTTCAGTATCACAATAATATCACCAAAATGACAAACAATATCACTATAACACCATGACTATGCAACTACAATTCTATCATAATACCATCATAATACCACCACAATACCACCATTATACCACAACAATACCACCACAGTAGCACCACCATACCACCACAATACCATAACTTTTCTAAAACTTGATAACACATTTTTAAGAATAATTTTCAAATAAAGAAGATGCACAATATCATAATATATTATTATTTAAAAAAGGAGGTACAGACGAATGGTCCTTTGTTTAAAAAAATATATTTTTATAAATGTATTACCAAGTCTTAAAAAAATGTGTCGTGATGGTATTGTGATGATATTTTGAAATTATAGTGATGGCATTGTGATTTTGAGGTGATTTCTTTGTGATAGTACTGTGGTGGCATTGTGTTGATATTTAGGTGGAATTGTGGTCTGTTGGCACTAACAAGTTGAGGAGTTGCCCGCTGGAAGCTGTCGCCCGCCAGAATCGAAATCTCGTCACCCGCTTTGAAAGGACATTTAATTTACATATGTATATAAAGTTTAGAAAAATATGAAATCAAACCGACCCCATATTTCTCAAAGTTTAAATAAAAGAGCACTGTACCTCAAACTCTGTATTTATCCCGAAGGATAAATACAAGACTTGAGGATGAAGCTCGATCAAATAAATTAAGAAATATATGACATCTGTTTGGTCTGTGAAACTATTTATTTGCCAACAAATTCCCCTATTTAATACATAGAATTAAATAAGGTTTATATTAAGCTGGGTTCGGACAATCTTCCTATAAGGGCAAGCGCCTACAATTAATTATATCTTAGATAACCGAAGTCACTTAAAACACTCTCGATATAAATCAGGAAATGTTATGTTCAAGGAGGTCAAAGGATAGGACTTTTCAACGATATCAGACAAAGTGGTGTGAAAAGGGATTGGCTCAAATTTGGAACATTTATTGTAGAATACAAAGAAGGAATAACTAGGGGATGTCATG